AAACTTCATTATGGCCACTGGAACGACCAAGCCCAGCGCATTTATTGGCGTGCCGGGCGCATTAATAGTTAGGTGCTCCAGGGGGTTGGCAAGCCCAGCGCGCACAGCGCATTTACCACTGGAAGGTCTGAGCATTAATCACGCCGGGCGCCCCATCTGCCAAGCCGGGCGCATTAAATGTTTGAACATTGAAACCCTAGTTAAGCCTGGCGCAAAACGGCAATGCTCGACGCCACACCAGATTTGGGTAACCTTTGGGCTTCTACTGATATGGCGCCCGGCGTGGAAAATGCCACGCCCAGCGCGACCCTTCAGATGCCCCCACTCTTCTTCCTTCACTCTTCCCACTTTCATTTTCTCAACGGTAAAAAGATTATAAGGGACCAAAATAGGGTTTTAACCTAATTATTATTAAAATTAATAAACTTATCGATAGACTAAAATTAAATAATAATATATATTATTTTTCTTGAAAAAATAAATATTAATTATTATTATTTTTAATTATTGTAGCTATGTTTTCTCATTGAATTACAATATAAGAATTGTATTGTGAAAAAATGTCTATATATTGACAATAATTTTTTTTTTCTACACAGTGATCTATCGTAATTACCATTTACTCTCCGAACTTGGATATAAAAAAATGTCTTATATAGTAAAAAAAATATAAACAGATCTTAATTAATATTTTCTTTCTCCCAAATATTTAGTTCTTTTAGCCTTCTTATTTTACTCCAAACAATCAGCATTTTGAAATTTTAAAGTCTAATTTATTTTTTTCTCAGTTATATTTCTACATACTCTCTTCGTTTCAACATGATTATAATTTAAAATTTCTATTAATGTTTCAAAACTTATACTGGTTCTTGATAAGAGTACTCAATCAATATATTACTAACCGATAAATCACTAGTTGAAGTGTGTGAACTGCTGTAAATAAAATGTAAGAAAATATAAATATATATAACATTAACCAAATATAGACACAAAAGGTGAGATGGTGTAATGGTAAATGTAAAGTAAGGTCATCATTTTCACCTTGTCCCCCGTTTGATTCTCACTAGAAGCAGATTTGAGGTGGTTAAATAATTTATCAAAGAATAAATTAAAAAAAATATTATTATATCAAAAGTTGTTTCACATTAAAGCAATTTTTGAAGTTGTTGAATAATTTATAAAAAAATAAATTAGAAAAATATAATTAATATTATATTAAAAAGTGAAAACATTAATCACAGAAACAAAGTAACAGTAAGATAAAAAAAAACTATATTTTTAGTCTAAAATTACATCTATTACATATTTTTTTAATTCATACCTGAAAGAAATCTAAAGATTTGGAATACGGAAAGGATTACTCAATTTTATGAAATCATTTTGAAAATATCTTTTGAGATTCTATTTCTAATACTTTTTTTTTGTTGGTCAAATTGTAATAAAAGGTAACATGTAAAAGAAAGTTTTTTTTAATAGAGATTTGTAACGACCCGCCATGGTTTCTACACTTAGTGAAATCGCACTACTGCTAGTGAATTAAGAGAAATATTAAGTTGGATAACTCATACATACAAGTATAAATAAGAATGAAAATAACTAAGTTTTTAGTTATAAAATAGAACACCATATATATATAGTCTTCCCAAAAATAATATGACTCTAGTGTCGGTCAAGCACAGACGAAACCATTACCCAAAATGGTAACTCTAACACGAGGGTCAAACTCCCCGTCTCGCAACGGTTATCCCAACTCCAAGCTAGCCCTGACCTGCTCCTATACAAGGTATGATCATCGCAGTCCATCCATATGGAAACAGAAGGGTAAGCTAGAGTTCAAAAATCAATCATACAAGTATAGAACAATAATCTATACTACACAATCATTCAACTATCAATCATATTCATAGAGTCACACCATACACTCTATTCAATACTACTCATGCATAAAATACAATCCACCAATCATGAAGTCAAACACCACACTTCATCATATTAATAATCATGCAATAAATGCATCTCATGACAGATATCAATGCATATCAATCATCTAATGCGTCGTCACGCATACACCTAGGAGATCTCCATAACAATAGAGCTGTATAAGTGACATTCCATCCTACCGAAACCACCCCAACCGTTTTCACGCCCAATGCGTCTGCTCGATCACAACTAAACAGGATATAATCCTCACTCGGGTTTACTCAGATGATGTCACTTACACAATTGGAAGTCCAGATCCACCGTCAGATATAGTACAGCTGGGTACGAGCTTACCACGACCTTGGCATGCATAACCAAGTCAATTGTGGAGTTCGCCCACCGACTATCCGCAAAGATCCACGCACCTTCCAGAGTACTTGGTTAAGGAAATAACCCTCGACCTCATACCCCGCTCCAACACTAGCTAAGGACTTAGAAGAGACTCACCCAACCTAGTGGCCTACCTAAGCACCACTCTCCCAAATCCAGTGGCCTACCTGAGCACCACTCTCATATATCAGTGGCCTATCCAAACACCACTCTCAAGAGACTCTATGTGAGCTCTTGCAGTTCGAAAATATTTTTTCTCTCCTCAAGTCCTAGGCTAGACTCATGCCATAAGGCATTACATGCAATTATGCATCACACATCATACATGGTCTGCCCACCATCATGATCAACAATCATACACATGTCATAAGACATCACATGCAATAATGCATCATACATCATACATGGTTTACCCACCATTATGATCAATAATCATACACATGTCATATGACATCACATGCAATAATGCATCATACATCACACATGGTCTACCCACCATTATGATCAATAATCATACACATGCCATAAAGCATCACATGCAATAATGCATCATACATCATATATACATGATCTAAAACTTCAACTTTAAACATGCATAAGCATCAATTTAAATCAATTATTTATAAACATATTCACGTTCGGCGCAGTCAGCTCACGCCTAGCCTAACACCAACCCGAGAGTTCTAAGCTCTTCTACGCCCGGCCTAAATGTCAGTCAGAGAGTTCAAAAACTCTCATCCAAACCAACAAATCCAGCCACATGCAACCACAAAAACACAATGCATAGGCTCCATACAACTTAAATAAACTTAGATCTCACATGCATCCAACCTATGCATCAAAATTATCAAAATCCTCATTTTTCTCAAAACTCCAAAAAATGAGATTTTCTTCAATCCATTTATGGATTCTCAACATTCATGCATCAATTGAGTTTCTAAACTCACATGCAGCCTAAACAACAAACATTCTAACTTCCCTCACCTGAAGATTGGCTCAAAATAGCCAATAACTGAGAAGAAATAGAATTCCCTTCCGAAGCTCAACTTAGAACTACAATCCTTCCAAAGCAAGCTTCCTAATCTGAATTTCAAGAAAAGACAGAAGACATTAGTGATCTCGAGGAGAAAAAGAATCATACAGAGAAATTTGGGAGAGAAATGAGCTCACAGACCTAGAGTCATTCTCTCTAAAACTTCTCTCTAAAATCTCCACTTTCTCCTCAACCACACAACGCCTATTTATAGAAGTTCAGGAGTGGCCAGAACGGCCTGTTCCGAATCCGGAACGACTTGTTCTGCACCCTTTCATCTTTTGTAAAAATCACATGCAGAATGGCCCGTTTTGAAATCAGAACGGCCCGTTCTGGGACTCATCTAGAACAGCCCGTTCTCCATCCAGAACGGCTCGTACTCCCTCCAGAACGGCCCGTACTACATCTAGAATGACCCGTTCTCAACTACGATTTACAGGTCAATTTAGTAGTTTGAAACGGCCTGTTCCCATATTAGGCTTTTGGGCCTTCTGAAATAACTTTCTACGTTACAAGATTAATAAAATTATATAATATTAACTAATTTTTTTTTAATTAGCACATAAAATAATTAATTTTATTTATATTTAAGTTCAAAGAAGTACTATAAATTTGTTAATTTTTTATAATAATTATCCTTTTAATAGAATATAATTTTTAAAAATAATTATTATAAAAATAAAAAAATTATAATGTTTTAGCAAATTTAATTTAAAATTAAATTAGCTAATTGATACATTAATGATTGAAATTATTTAACTTTATTAATCTTAATAAAAATAAGCACTTTTCATACATTACCGTCCACATATATTATGGATAAAGGAACTGTTATAATCAATTTAGCGGTGAAAGGTTAAAATAGTATGCATAAGATATGATTATATTTTTAATAATATTAAAAATAAAAAAAGATAATCAATAATAAAATCTTAATTAAGTGAATTTCAAGAATAATAATATTAAATAAGATTAGTGAGATCAAGACACTTTATATTTCTATATTTTATTTAATAATGATGTTTAAAATTATTTACATTTACGTTTATTAGATCAATTAATGTTATGTTTGATCCTCAAACCTTAATAATTCATGTTCGAGTCGAGTCTTATATTTATAAATATAATTAATTTTTAATATTATTTAAAAATTTAAAAATAAAATAGAAAAATATGTATATGAAAATATGAAATCGTTTTAATATATAGATATAGACTAGTAGCATCGAGTGTCTTTATTAAAAATAAAATTAAAATTAAAATCAAATAATAAAAATGTGTTAGTCTAATTAATAGTATAGTTGATTCTTGAATCTCAATATCTAACTTAAATTTGATAAAAATAAATTTATTAGTTTTTAATAATAAATAGTATAATAATCTATTAAATATGAAAATGAAAATAATTTAAAAAAGCATCTCCACTATAGATTATAAATTATAATATATGTTATAGATAAAGATAAAGTTTTCGTATATTTTATTTTTTCTTCTTATATATGTATATCTGAGGGAGTTCTATCAATAAATTTTGATTAGTTAAATGTGTATAATTTTATATATAATATAATTTTTTTTTTTATAGATTTGGACGTGGCGAAAACAGAGAAGAGGTGGACGTGTATTTCGGTATCGATTGATTCAAGAAAATGAAACTTGCGAAAGGAAAACATAAAGTGAAAAGGCCAAAAAATACAATAACGAAAGAAAACCGAAGGATGGTTAATTGATGCTGAACGAGTTTAGTCAGTCCCTAACAATACTTTAATAGTTTTTCATTCCAATCTTGTGGAGGAAGAGCCAAAGAACTCACGACAATCCCTCAAATTGACGTTACCAACAAGAAAAAAGATCACAGTTTTGAAACACACGCAGAGAGAGAGAGAGAGAGATATTCTCCCTAAACAGCAAAAGAATAAAAAAATTAAACATTTGTTTTCCTTCAGTTGCACCTTTTGGTGTCTTTTCAATTCTCATCCCAAGTGGTGTTTGTTTTCCCAATTTTGACCCTTTATAGTCCTTTTCTCAAATCTCACAGTAAGTTTCTGTTTTGGCCTGATTAATGCGTTCGTTTCCTAAATTTGTGTTTTTTTTTTTCATCTGGGTATCTGTGATTTTGAAAGGGTAGCGTTGTTTGGAATCCGGGAAAAATGGGTTTGTTTTCTGGGATTTTTCTGGGGATGGCATTGGGCATAGCATTGATGGCTGGTTGGCAACGCATGATGACATACCGTAGCGCCAAGAGAATAGCAAAGGTATGATGATTTGGTTTGTTATGCTTATTTCGAATTCGGGTTTTGATGATCAATGTTATAGAAAAAAAAAATTATGGATTTCCTTGTTCTGAGCAATGTTGAAGAAAAGTTGATGAATTATGATGTAATCAATCAGTGAGTGATTATTTGAATAGTTGAAAGGAAATCTGGAAGATCATTTTAATCTTTTGTAAATCATGTCATTCATTTAAGAAGATGGGTGATCAATAGAAGATGCATGATCAATGTGAGAAAGAACGATATAGTCGGACAGCAGTAGAGAGTATGCTTTTGTTAAGCAATTGGTTTGGCTAAAAGTAATGAAGAGATACTTTGTCAGTTTACAGAATTGATATCTTGTGCTAAATTAGCAATTTCTCTGACTTGAAATTTTCTTGTAGAGAAATACAATTAATCACTGCCTTAAACAACAAAGAGAATGTAAATGTTGTGGGAATTGAGTACTCAAACCTCTATCAGGCTCATAATTTCTAGTTATGGCTCTCGGTGAAAACTGAAAAGTTGTATCATCAATATATGAGATTTCAGAAAAAAAATTGATGTCTTTTAAATTCTTATTTTCACACAAATTCCCCATCAGGTTATCTGCATTATCATTTTTTATAATATAAAAATATATTCTCTTATGAATGCAATAAAGTTATTGAGCCTCTTATGTCAGAAATGGTATAGAGAAGGCACAAACACAATCCTATTGCTTGTTAGGTTTAGGGGCAAGAAGGCACCCTTAAATGTGCGAGCTTTTTCCTCCAACAAAATGCACTAGAGAACTGAATTAGCTGCAGACTGCCACAAAATATTAGCCTCCTTAATTTTATCCAAACCTTTGGTTTTGATCATCAGAAACCATTCTAAAGAAATAGTACGCATTATGCAAAATTGCACGCAGCATTCAGTGATACCCACATACCACAATAGGTTATTCCATTAGAAAGTAGCTGAATTTTCAAAAATGAGTGTGCTGCTGTTAAACACACATATCAGAACTTAAAAGAAAGATTTGTTGACGCCTTCAATCTGCAACAAGTCATTTTTATCAGTTGTTCAGGTAAAAGATTTGATCTTACAAGGAACTTTCAACTTCCAAATGGGTGTGGCTATCAGGATTCAGGAGTCTCTGATTATTCAAATAATGAGTTAGAAATTGGAAAATTACTAGCAAATAATACTCCGCAAGACCGTTTAACTCTCCTATCTTCATTGGTAGAGACATGAGAGTAGATTCAAGCAAACCATGTTTGATGTTTTCAATTTCTGAAAGTAATTATTACGTTCACCAATGATTACATTTATGAAGGTTCAAATGGCAAAGAAAGACAATAGTTATATAGGTTTGTCTATATATTAACTAATCAGAACTAATCTCCTTCACTTTGAGAGGTACAGTTGAGCTCAATGTCTAGGCATTTTTCTGTTCATTGAACAATCAACACCAAGATCGATTGTCCCTAAGGCAATGAAAACCTTGCATTCCCAAGCTGTACACCTTCTGCCACTTATATTTGCTCTTGTTGATTTTAAATCCTAAAATGTCAACTCATCAAGGGATGTAGGGCTGATTTAAAATATCTTACTTTGGCCAATGCCTGGTTTTAAGGTTCAGTTTGAATGTGAACTAACTGATATGAAAATAAGTTCTGGGTGGAGGCTAATGAAGGCTGTTTTATCTAGGTTGCTTTAGTCTGGATAGTTTTCTAACTTACTGAAATTTTGTCTTTGATAGAGTCCAATGGTGTTGATTGATCCATATAGCTAATTCCACATAATGGGATAGATTTGGTTGTGGTTACTTGTTAGTGTCAAGGGTAATTTGGCAGAATGGTAAGTTGTCAATTTCTAATGAAGAGGCAAGAGTCATTCCATTGCTTTCAGTGCTGGGGAAAGAACAGACACACCTGCTTTCCCTTCTGGCCTTCCACCCCCTAACCAAAGTTGTATCCAAACACAGGAATGTTTTCCACCCCCCTGGTTCCCTTTCCATTCCCCTCTGTCCTGCAATCCAAATAGACCCTAAATATGATGGAAACTTGCACTCACCAATGAGAAACAAAGTGTAAAGAGGAAAAGTTGTATATTCAGAATGCAATCACTTTCAAAATGATCAAATTATCATTATGTAGGATTTTCCCTAGTGGAGTGGCATATTAATTTTGGAACAAGTCTATAAGTGCATAAATATAAGCCTATTACCTGATTTTATAAATAGGGTGTGATGGGAAAATTTAAACCAGGAGCCATTGGTAATAACATCCTACATTATCTATGCATTATGAGTTTCAAGTTTATTACTTGTATAGTCTTATGTCTGTATCCTATGCCTGTGGACTTCCGTATGGAGTCTGGATCGTTGATTCAGTTGATTGTATACTGATTAACAACATCACTGGTAGAAGACATGGAAAATAGGGGTGTGAAAAGAAAATAAAATAGGAAGGCATCATAAACTAGAAGGATTGATCATTGATGTTAATGATGAATACTGTGGCACTAACTAGACTCAAAGGCTCTTCTGGGATGAACACATTTATGTTTAACAAAAAAATATGTTTTTCCTTATCCTAACATTCTTCATTTTTCTTTACACTACAGGCAGCTGACATTAAACTCCTTGGATCCCTTAACAGAGATGATTTAAAGAAAATTTGTGGTGATAATTTTCCTGACTGGGTATCTTTTCCTGTATATGAGCAGGTGAGATTTTTGTCTGTCATTGTGATTACTTAGCTTTTTGCTGAAATGATTTGACACAGCTCTCCTATTATTCCAGTTAATCCGGTATAGCATCAAATGCAGCTGCAAAGTCAAAATATAGAAACACTGTCTCTTGTTTCCCAATTGATATACTGTGCATGTGCTCTGTGTATGACCTTCCTTGCCTGGGCCTTTTCAGGTGAAATGGCTAAACAAGCAGCTGTCCAAAGTTTGGCCATTTGTGGCAGATGTGAGTAAACTTGCACACATATTATATGTTTGTATTATAATCAACAACAGTTTGTGTGGTGTTTGGTGAATTTTTACTCTATTTTTTGGGTTTTATCTTGATGTTTCCGTTGTTTCTGTAGTATGCTATTTCACAATATTTTTTTTATTGTAATTCTTATTACATTGATGTATGATATGACACTATATTGCATCTTAACACACCAGTAGTTGTTCAGTTTGAATGAGAAAAATAGAGTTTATATTGGATCTGAATCATCTGATGATTATGGTTATGGGGAGACATTAAATTCAGAATTCTTGTTGAGAATTCATGCAATATAGATCTTGTATATTATGTAATTGACTTTAGAGTATGTTACATTTAGTAAATATAAATATGGGTGATATTGGGAAAAACCCAAGTCACCTTATAATCCAATTTTGTAGAGTTGAGTTAAGTTCAAATCTACTATTCTAAGATGGTATCAAAACTATCCTTGATCATTAAAATTGGTCACCTATCTTAGATCATTAAAAAGGGTCGCCCACCATTTATCCACGTATCAAATCTAATAGTGCTGAACGTGAGGAGGTATATTGGAAAAAGCCCAAGTCACCTTACAAGCCGATTTTGTAGGGTTGAGTTAGGTTCAATCCACTATTCTAAGAGGTGATATTTATTTAGCAATTTAAAGTTGTATTTTTTGGACATTACCTGTTTTGTCTTAAATGTACCCCGCATTAGATTCTTTATCTGTGTGTGTATAAAGCTGTATAAAGCTTATGTATACCGATGTGCTAAAAACATGGGCTAGGTTTGTTTGGTGTCTCCAATATACAGTTTATCTGAAAAATGGGAAAGGTGTGATCAAATACATGAATTAAATTATGCCATTCTGCTATGTCAAAAACAAAGTCTTCAGAAAAGGCCATTTAGATATAATTTGTTTTTAATTGTTTCTCGTAGTGATTTTAAAGGTGGGGGATAATGAGTGTTATTTATATACTTTTGTCAAAAGTCAAGAAATGGGGTTGAGTGGATATTAAAAGTACTTGAAATAAAATTACAAGTGGACATTCATGTCTAGACGATAGTGTTTGCTATTTCTGATGCACAGAAATAGAAATTGGAGGGGTTATGTTAGCAGACTTCCCGATAAGGAGAATCTATGTAGAATAAAGGAGTGTAGACATTTGGAAGCTATGTTTGGATTGATGGAAAGGGATGGTACGATGAGGAATGTAATAGAATGTTATTAGTTTCCATTGTTTGGATTGTTTAAAATAGAATGTAATGGAACCTAATGGGTTGGAACTTAATAGAAGGGGGAATTATATTTTTGTATTATTCTTGATCTTGGAGAAAAGTAGGTGTCTTTGAACACCCGGAGAGATAGAGAATCCTACACTTGTATTACTGCTGATCTCTGGCTGTATCTCATTGATGCTGATCAGATGGTATTTGTTGCTACAAAGATTGTTTGTTCATTTCAATTTTGGTTTATTTCTATGAACTGGTATTAGCTTTCAAGATCTAGAGAGGCATACATGGTTGAATCCAGAAAGGTGGAACAAATGAGGAAGTTGCAGAATAACACTGAAGCAACTTCTAGGTTGTTGGAAGCAATCTGAGATACCGATGTTCAATTGAAATGATGCTTATGGCTTTTTCGCCATGGTGGTGCAGCACACAAAAGGAGCTTTGGACAGGGAGAAGCTGATTGAATAATAACACAAGCAGATAAACACTGAAGGGAGGTGCATTATCAGGTAGGTGATTGGGATTTTTCTCAAGTAGCAGCCTTGTAGGTTCAAGTTCTTGGCTAAGAAGGTGAATGTCAAGTCCTTGTTTGCCATTCCAAATTGTGCAAATAGTAGGAGAGGTGGATTATTGATTGCACTTACCCTTGAATTGCAACATGCATCCATTTTTCCATGTCAACCTCTTTAATAGAGCTATTTCCCTAGTAGCTCCTCAATCCTTGCAACAATAGTCTGAAGACCTGAAGCTGCAAGCAATCCCTGCTATAGTTTTGTCTGTCTGAGATAATCCTTCAGGGCTGGGTGAAGTTGTGATTTATTTTAAGGATCTTGCCTATTTCACATAGTCATGGGAATCCTTCATGTTCATTCATGAACTGTTCCTTGAAATTCACCATGAGGACAACAAGAAACTTTTTTTTTTCTTTTTGGAAGAGGGGGTTGTTTAACTTGTTGGTAACAGACCCCCAATTAGGAAAGTTTATACCAAAAAAAATTGAATGGGCCCAAGGAATCAAGTGGGCCTGCCTATGTTAGTTAGGCTTTATTGAGCAAGACTTGTTAGTAATGCTGTTAGGGCTAATTACATAGTTAGTCTTTTATAGTAAAGTTGAGGGAGACTGAAGGAAGTTATTTGGTTTTTAGTGAGTTGTGGAGGGAGTGACTGGTCTCTCAAATTGCTAGATATTTCTGTTGTAAACCATTCTTGCGCTTCTTCACTTTGGGGGGAAAATTATATGTATGCAGCTTTACCCTGAGTTGAGAGGCTATTTCTATGTATTAGAGTAAAACACTACACTAAGTTTTACTCTAACACTGTGACAAGAAACTTTGATCCCTAGGTCCTTTGATGGCAATACATTTTTTCTATGTATGTATAAAAATATATATATATATATATGCCTGTTCTCTGCAGCATGCATCTTGCTTTCCATAGGCTCTTGGAGACCTCTCTTTTAATTTCTTGCAAATCTTTGTCTTAGAAGGGTATATCTGCATGGCTTAAATTGCTGACTTTATTTTGATTTGGATTATGTTTACTTTTAGGCAGCAACATTGGTGATAAGAGAATCTGTTGAACCACTATTGGAAGAGTATAGACCTCCTGGAATTACTTCATTGAAGTTTAGCAAGCTGTCTCTTGGAAATGTTGCTCCAAAAATTGAAGGTATTGATCTATATTGTATTCCTCTTCATTTTTTTTTGCTGCTATATTTAATACTCTTAGATGTACAAATTCAGACAAGGTTGATTTATTATTCTGCTTTTGACTCCATTTCTTTTGAGATGCTTCATATGTAGCAATTTTTTAGACTTTTTCCATAAGCAGGTTATCCCAACTTTTTATGTCCATTTCTGTTTCCCTTTTCTGCTGTTTATGCTATTTTACCATGATCTTTTTGTATTTTTAAATTTTAAGCAAAATTTAGTATCCAACTATATCATTGTACTATTTTTACGTGTCCGATCCTTATTTCCAATACTGTCTCTTATCCTTTTATTTCTTATGTATCTCAGTTGGTTGGAGAGGAATGCCTTTATTTTATAGTGCATCCCTTTGGTCTTGCTATGTTATGGAACTATGCTTATTTGTGGCTTTTCTTTAGAGCTCTTCTAATGATTGCTTGGAGTAAATTTTATAATTAGTATTCAAAGAGATTGGACAGTTTTGGCAAATTTTTTAGCCACATTGACTTATTGTTTTCTTCTCTTTTTTAAGGCCTGAAGTACATTTTTCATTTTCTTTGTTTTAATATGTTCTTTTAGCAAAATAATAATAATTGAAGATAAAATTTTCAGCATTTCTTTATCAAGTTTTATAAAGGAACCCTCATAAACTTGTAACATGAACTAAAACCAATGCAACTATAACCAAAACTTCCATGAATTAAAAAAAATCCTATCATCAATTGTGGTCCATAATATGAAGGAACCTAGGCCTTTTCTGAAAAAAACATGTTCTGCCCATAAACTCTTACTTGCAATCAATTTAGACTTGTCTTCTCTTCATGATCTAGCAAGTGATTAGTAAGCACTGATCCATGTCTAGATATGTGTTAGGGACTCAGGGCCATGTTAAAAACTTGTCATAGTTTGTAAAAAGTATAATTTTAATCCGTCATTCCCAACAAAAAAAATTATATCTAAAAGCAATACAATCCAGTCTATTATATTTTTTTAAAATCCGGGAAACTGGGAAATCATATATTGTGAGATTCAAGATTTAACATGTCTTAAATCAAACTTAGCTAAATGAAATGGACAGATAAAAGCTGGAGTTGTGTGGTTTTTGGATAAATCAAAATATTTTAGGTCTGTTATGTGCAAACACAAATCTTGAAAGAATAATGTTGTTTATTAAAATCTACAAATATATGAAAATGAGTGCAGCATTGATGAGATTGTATTAAAGTGTTTGACTTATGCATGTCAATAATATTCAGTAATACCAAACAAAATGCTATGAAATGCCATTTTTTACAATCCTTATTGTTTCTCCCTTTGTCAATTGTGTTGAATTATTTTTGAATATCAAGAGTGAATACATGCATATTTTCTTCAACCATGCAGGTATTCGTGTTCAGAGTCTTAACAAAGGTCAAATCATAATGGACATTGATTTCCGTTGGGGTGGTGATCCCAATATTGTCTTGGCTGTTGAAGCTGCCCTTGTTGCATCAATCCCTATTCAGGTAGAGTCAGCAGTGTTTTTCTATTTTGACTTTACATTGCAATAAGAAATTTTCAAAATTGAGTTATATTTTTTTTTGCTTCAGTTGAAGGATCTTCAGGTTTTCACCATTATCCGTGTTATATTCCAACTATGTGATGAGATCCCCTGCATTTCTGCTGTTGTTGTTGCCCTACTTGCTGAGGTAACTTTTGAGATGGAAAAATGAAAAAGATGTTTCTTCTCTCCTGCAAATCAAGCAAAAAATATTGACTTGAAGTTGGATGTGCATGTTTTTCATTTGATGACGTGGCATTCATTTGTTTTTCTATAAGAAGAAATTGATGCAATATAGTTGGTTAATCAAAAATCTGAAAAAGCTAGATAATTGATCCCTTCATATTAAACACGTGTTCATCACACCTGCTTAACTATCAACTTCAATGGTTTTACCGATTTATCATAGTGTGATGACGTTAGAGCCAGAGTCATTAGGACAATGCCCTTCTGTAGGTTGCGAATGAGTGGACTAGGACATGATTGTTTATAATTTAGGTGTTTGATTTTCTCAACATAAGTCAATATTTTAATTGAATTCTTGGATTACTTTTATCAGTATCACCTACTACATGATAGTAAATTGGGATGCTAATATTATTTTCAGTTTCGGAATTACTGACTTTTTATTATTAACATTTATTCAGCCGAAGCCTAGAATTGATTACACTCTGAAGGCTGTTGGTGGAAGCTTGACGGCACTTCCAGGAATTTCAGATATGATTGATGTAAGTTCTATTTTATAAAGTTGCCCCTTTCACCTTTTACTGATTTTGAATTAATACTCATAATATACTTTTTCCCTAATATTTCAAATAGGATACTGTGAACTCAATTGTTACCGATATGCTCCAATGGCCTCATAGGATTGTCGTTCCTCTTGGGGGTATACCTGTTGATACTAGGTAATATGAATCTTATGGACTTTTTTTAATCCTGTTTATTATATTTCTATCTGCCTGTAGATCAAAGCACGTGGTTTGTTAACATATCTGATAAACAGTTTCTCAAATTGTTTGAAATGGTTGTAGAAAAACCCCTCAACCAAAGTGCTTCTTTCATTTTCTGTTTCCTCTGTGCCCTTGAAAAGAGAAAAAAATTGGTATTTAGGAACTTGCCAATTTTAAATGGTAATGCTCAAATATTTTACACTGCTTAAGCTCCTTTCCTTTTTTTTTTTGTTCTTTTGCAGTGAACTGGAGCTTAAACCCCAGGGAACGCTTAGAGTGAATATAATAAAAGCGAATGATCTAAAGAATATGGAAATGATTGGGAAGTCTGATCCTTATGTTGTTTTGCATATTCGACCACTTTTTAAGGTTAAAACGAAGGTTATTGACAACAACTTGAATCCTGTTTGGAATGAGGTATTTGACTTGATTGCAGAGGACAAGGAGACCCAGTCACTCGTTCTCGAGGTTTTACACAACTAATCCTCTTTTATGTCACTCATTCGATTATAACTTCTATTTATTTATTATTTGAGATGCTTGCAAGTTGACCATGATACCTCCTGATTACAATATTAAAAATTTGTCATATAAAGTGATTATTGATGAAGACATTGAAGAGATTGAAGGAGATATAAATCATAGGATTCTTCATTCTTGTTAGATGAATGGAATGGTGGAATGCTTCGGGTGTTATTTTTGATTGAAAGTTGTTGCTTAAGCTTGAAGGGAAAGTTGTACTAATGATGCTTTATGATACTGAATGTTGGGGAATCAAGTGCCAACAAGAGTATGAGCTAGTTGTTGTAAAGATAAAAATGTTGCAAGGAGTGAATGGACATACAAGAAAAGATGAGATCATTGAATGAATATATTAGAGAGAAAGTAGGAGTAGCGCCCATGAAATAAAAAAAATAAAATGGTAGAATTGCACTTAATTTGGTTTTGCCACGAGAGAGTAAAGACTTGTAGATGCCCCATTGTGACTTGTGAGGAGTTGATTAAAGGGAGGATAGCCCTGTTGTTAGAGGTAGCAAACTATGAATAACTGTAAGTGAACTATTAAAAAGGACTTATATATAAGATATCTAATTGGCCTCTCCTAAACTCTTGGTTTTTGACATAACACATGGACATTTGTGATATATGTAGTCAACTCTATCTAGTGGGAAAAGGCCATTATTGCTAGCCGCTAGGAGTGTTCATGGATCAGTTTGGTTTGGATTTAGGATAAAATAAAGTCCAAGCCAATTAATTTTGATTGGATTTACCAAAAAAATTTAGCAATTTGAATCAAACTAATCCAATCAACAGCGGTTGGACTGGTTGCAGATTGATTGGATTTCCTGAAGAAAAAAATGTAGATTTCTATTTTTTTAAACAAAAAAATACATGATTTCTTCCCCAAAATGTAAATATAAACCTGTTATTAAAATGGTGTTAATAACATTATTTGAATGTAAATAAAAGAGTAACGTAGGAATTTTAAAAAATATTTTTAAACAACATAAACTATTCATAAACAAATATTAGTCCAAGACTTCAAAGTATCCAACAAAAATCAAATTATCTAACATAAACCAAATTGTTCAATATAAACCAAATTATCTTACGACTTTATAACTTTTGTTTTACATTTTTACAATGTGTAATGACTAATTAGTAATAAAATAAAACATAAAATAATAAAAATATAATTTGATAGATGTTTGGTTTGGTTCTCGGATTAACGGATTTTTTAAGTGCATATCCATTGTTCGAACCTGGTTTGGATTGGATTTGATCTAATCAAGAAAAAAATCTGAACTAATTTAATTGATTTGCAAATAATCCAAATGATGAACACCCAATTGTTGATGTATGAGTGATATATTGCTCCCATTAATCAAAATTTCTAACTCCAAAGCTGGCGGCAGTTTTACCTGATTGTACATAACATGTTTACTTGCTGAAATGGCTGGTTTCTTACGTGACAAGTTCTTGGAAAATTTATGTTAAATTTCTGTGTGATCTGGACCATAGGTTTTGGTACTTTATCTTCTCCCCTTGGATGTTTATTAATCTGTTTCGATAAGCTACACCTGTAATATTTTGGTTCGATAAGCTGCACAATCCTTATTAATGCAATGATTAATTTAATAAAATTATCATAAATGATTTTCCTTCATGGCTCTGAAAATAGGTTTTGGACAAAGACATTGGGCAAGATAAGCGATTGGGAATAGTAAAATTACCACTTAATGACCTGGAAGCAGAAACTGCAAAAGAATTTGAATTGAGGCTGTTGCCATCACTTGACACACTGAAAGTTAAAGATAAAAAGGATCGAGGAACCTTGACAATAAAGGTATAAATAGACATGAATTGATTTTTGTATTTGGCAATGGTGACATCTGTACATAGTTTCTGGGGCTATCCTTGATATTTAGTATAGATGGAAATTGAGAGTCACCCCTTTTTTTCTTTCCCTCTACCTTTTTTGATCATACTATCATCGGCATATTTTAACCACTCTTTGTTCACCGAAGTAAAAGTCATCTCATTGGAATTTCAGACATTTTATCACCAGTTTAACAAGGAAGAACAGTTCGTTGCACTAGAAGCAGAGAAAAAGATACTTGAAGAACGGAAGAAACTTAAAGAGGAGGGAGTTATAGGAACTACAATGGATGCACTAGATGGAGCAGCATCAGTAGTTGGGTCCGGTGTGGGAATGGTCGGGTCCGGTGTGGGAATGGTTGGGTCCGGTGTTGTTACTGGTGCTGGAATGGTGGGCAGTGGAATTGGTGCCGGAGCCGGAATGGTGGGCAGTGGAATTGGTGCTGGTGCTGGGATGGTGGGCAGTGGAATTGGTGCTGGTGCTGGGATGGTGGGCAGTGGAATTGGTGCTGGTGCTGGGATGGTGGGCAGTGGAATCGGCGCTGGTGCTGGGCTTGTTGGTAGTGGCATTGGTGCTGGAGTTGGTTTTGTTGGTAGTGGTCTTGGTGCTGTTGGTAGTGGACTGAGCAAAGCAGGAAAGTTCATGGGAAGGACAATCACAGGGCAAGGTGGATCCAAAAGGAGTGGTTCATCTACTCCTATCAATACGGAGGAGGCTGGTGGTGGTGCAAAACCTCTGCTGCAGTAATTCCCCCCTGGACACTGCAAGAGTAATGAAATGACCTTGAATGTTTAGTTCAAGCGTTGACAGTAGATATATATTACCTATGTTTGTTTTTTTTTTTTCTCGGTATTTTGAGGCTGTTGTTAATTGAAATATAGATTGAACACTTGTAGAAATGTCACTTCAGTTTTAGCTGTACCATCTTTTTCTGTAATTATTTTTCACCTGGACGTGTAATAAAACTTTCATTGTAAAAATTCTTTAATTTCATTGGAAATCAAAGTGATTCAAAAGGAAAATAACGTTGCACAAATTATTTCTTTCTAATTCCGTATTTGGTCGCATGTCTAATTAATGTAGATCAATCCATAAAATTTCTTAACCAAATTTTGCAGTTCTTAATTTCTCAGTCTGTTATTTGGCACAGCTGGTAAGTTGCATTAATTGCAACTTGTAAGACAGTTTTTGCATCCTCGGTAAGGAACCTGATTGTATATACAAATTTTCAATGTAATATCTGTTCAATGTTGTGAAAGAAACAGGATTTTAGAATTGTTAACGACAACCTATATTTCCTAGTCACATATGATTCTCAATTAAATGGTATTAGAGCCTTTTGTATCTGCGATCATTTTGGATGCAGTATTCAATGGTTAACGAAATGAATACGAATTTTTCTATCACGTATCTGGAGTTGATCGGATCCTATCACTATTACAACGTTGAATAATTTGTGTTAGCTTAGGAACCGTGATTAGACTGGCACAAGAAAAGCTTCTCCCATTGAATCTCTCTATTGTAATATAGGGAAACTATTGAGTAAAATTATTCAGTATCTTGAGTGGCCAGTCTTTAGCCCTTTCCAGTAAAAAGTTCCATCGCTCTCACACACCCAAAAAACGTTACTTGAGCTTTAAAATGAAAGGTCCTACTAACATGTATTACCCTGTATGAATTATGAACAACTTTCACGGCAGGACACTCACAAACTCTTCCCCTATAAGTATCCTAACAGAATAAAAGTTTACTAACATCATATTCTCACAATCTAAGTCTGTAGAACATCCTGATATGTTAAAGGATGATCCCATGGCATTGGAATGTAGAATTAACAGTACTCTTCTCTGGATAAACTTAAAGCATAGAGTTTTCATGAGAAAATAAAAATTATTTATAAAAAAAAAAGAGAGAGAGAATCAAATTAGGACCAACTCACTTGGTTACAGGTCAAGGTTGAATGATCAACAGTACTCTTTTTCGGAGGGCTTTGTTGGTAAATCTTTAGATGCAAAATGGCAATCATTTTTATTATGAATCGTTCTACTTTATACCTTTTAAATGGTGCATCATAAAGACGTTTAGTCTCATGATAATTGATACAAAATGTTGATATGTTAGTCTCTATATTATGAATATTTCGGACTTCATAATGCTGCAAACCTTTCTAAGCAACCAGACCATTTCTAGGTAGGATAATGAAAGAGACTCATGCAGAAACAGGTATTAAGGATGAGAAGATCCTAACAAGTTTATCTGTTAAAACAACAAAAGATGAATGTAACAACTCCTAGAAATTTCTGCTGTAACTCTGACTTGACAGCATCTAAACTTTAGACCTTGGCAAATTTTCAGAATTCACCGATATTCCTAATCCAAATCAATATCACCTCCAATAACACCTTGATTAACATGCGAAGTTTTCAAATGATTTATTACTATGTACAGCAAAATACAAAACTGCACCCCTGATGTCTCTAATCTCTATTATATTCTTGTTTTCGACAACTCCAAAAATTGGACTCCAATTTTTTCCCAGTTTCACTATTACAGTTTAGGATATAGGTAATTAATTTTATGCATAAAACACCCTTCAAACAGCAAGTATATCAGATCCTTTATTGAGCTTAAGTGATCAATAAACAAATAAAGTTTGATTATGGTGCATGTGATTGAACACGACGGAGATTTCCCCTTGTATAAATAACAAAAATCTTCACTGTTGGCTATAGTTGGCCTGTTCAGGGGATTGCCAACAAAATCTACTTGCTGAACATAGGATATATGTAGATGCTGAAGGAGATGATTCCTTATAAATCTCAAATCAGCTGAGATCACTTTTATCTGTAGTTATCCATAAAAAAGCCAGAGTTCTCATATATTCTCAATATGCATTTGGCAAGAAAACCACAATCTCAATGCAAAGAAAAGCATTTGACAACAACAACAAAAATGCAAAGTTAATTATGTGAACATAATTCATATAGAGAACAAGAAAAACACATGTACATCCTCAAAGGTTATATCATGAGTCTATAAGATACTCTAAAATAAGAACCTAATAATAAGAGGTAATTTAACATATTCATAATATACTAGCAGGAAACGATGACATCAAGAAGGTAAGGTCCAGGAGTGTCCAACATTTTCTGAATAGCTTCTCTTAGGTCTCCCCTTTTGGTCACATGTGCAGCTGGTATCCCAAGGTAAGGTTGGTGGCACCAGGGCCAGAAGTGGTTGTTCCTGGCGTGGCAAAATGGTTCTTATGATGTCGGAGCGCTTGAGCTCTTGATGGTGGGAGAGGGGTCAGAGAGGGTGCATGAGATTTGAAGAGAGGGTTTGTTGTGAAGAGGGAAGGTTGCATTGATATTGTGTTTTCAGAGAATTGTTATTGGAGTAGGATGAGGAAGAGAAAGAGACTATGGAGGCTTTGCAAAGAAAGTTAGCCATGGTGTGCATGCATGCATGCTGGATACAACACAATTAAGGTCAAATCTTAAATAAAGAGGGAAAGTATATCACTAATTTAAAAAATATATATATTTTGGAATATCATATTCCTAATGAAAAAATGTTTGGGAGAGATTAATTTATAAGATCATATATAACATTTAGTGGGAATATATTCAAAATCTGTTACTGTTACTGATATAACTATTACGCGTACCCATTTGATCGATGCATGGAACAAATTATTCTTTGAATATAATAATAAATGGTAATAAAAAAATGATTTTATATATTGATTTATAAAATTATGTTTCGGATATAAATAAAGCATATATTATTATATATGTATAGTTTTGTTATGAGCTACTTATAACAACTGTATACATTCAATTTCCACTTAAAATTTTAATAGTAAAAATTAATAATTCTGCTATAATATTCAGACATGTTTAAATAAGAAATGAAAAATATATTTAAAACATAATTTATAAAATTATTTGCGAGAATTTTTCACGATAATGTTCGATAAGTTTTATTATATTTGTCATAACAAATTTCAATTAGTTTTCTTGTTATTGGTGTACATTCCAATTTCTGAAGTAAAAAATTAGTTATCCTTAAATACAGTCTTTATTATATTGGTGTAAAAAATTTGTCCTCAAAAAAAAAAAATTACCCTTAGATATGGTCTTTATTTAGTTTTCACAATTTTTTTTATTATCCCGGAAAAATGTTGCCTTCAAATACATGCTGCCATCATAACAAGATTTCAAATAATTATGATGAATATTCTGTTTCTCGAATTTGGGGGACTATTTGAAGAGTCCTTCAAATATTAAAAACTTTATATAATAAAATTAGTATTCATATCCAACAATTAATTATAATTAAGATATATTTCCTTTCTAGTAATTATATATATTTTTATTATATCTTATATTACTATTAAGATATATGTACCTGATTAATACATAATTAGTTATATTTATAATTTTAATTAACAATTAGTTGTAATTAACTTTAAAATTTATTATTAATAACCCTATTGGCTAGCCATATGTATACTTGAGTTCTAGGATAGATGACTTGTATGTTTTTATGTTGTAACCATGTGTGATAACCTATACGGTGGTTAAAATATTAAATTGAATCTTGATATAATTGTTCATGCATTGATCATGTAAAATAGAATATTTAGATTCATCTACATTGGGTTTGGTAAAAATGAAATACCGACAAAACATCAATGAGAGAGAAGAAATAACATAATAGAAATTCTTTTACTTATTTAGTTGATACGAATTGTGTTAGATGAGAAATTTACATATGTAATATGTAAATTTCTTCTCAAAATTGACTGAAAATAATGAAGAGAAAGGTGAAATTCTTTTTTCTTACACTTTTATCCATTGTGAATGTGTATTATTATCATGTATATTCAAATAATATGGGTCATTCAATTTTTATTTTTATTGTGACCATTTTTATAATTTTTTTTATTTTTATAAAAAAAATAATAATAATAATAACATGGGTCACTATGGTTATGTATTCGAATATTTTTTTTTCTATTCAAATGGGTGTACTGGTTATTTACTTTTATTTGAATGGACTTACATTTGTTTGTGTTTTTTATTCAAATGGGCTTGCATTTGTTTGTGTATTTTATTCGAATGGGTGAGGGTTGCATTTATTAAATATGGTTTTTGGGTGTTTTATTCGAATTCGTATGCAGAGTTCAAATGGGTGAATTTTGTCTTCAAATGTAGGGGCTTGAATGTTTTATTCAAATGGCCATGTCTTGTATTTGAATATGGCATATATTTACGGCCACACACCGATTCAAATAAAGATCATTAAGCAAATTAATACTTCGAATGTTATTTGAATACAATCAAATGAATAACTTTCTAAATGTTGTTTTATTCAAATAACTATGTTGTTTATTCAAATACACAATCCAAGAGGTGCGATTAGTTATTGGAGAATCCACTAAGCTCCACTGGGTTGGTGTTGTGTCATTGTTATGGAGACACATGGGGGGGTTGCAGTTTGAATGAAGGGTTGAGATTGTGTCAAGGGTATATGGGTTTTCATCTGACGGTGTCACTAAAAGGGGCAGATAGAGTGTTAGGAGAGAGAGGTCATTCATGGTAGTGTTTGAAAGTATAGGGTTTAAGATTTAGAGTTTAGGGTTTACATATCGAAGATGAGACCAAGTCAGACCCACCTTCATAATTATTTCAGCATTCTCTTTCTTGTATTTTTTTATATTATAAGATTATTAATAATTTATTTATAATCAAAATACTTAAGAAAATTATTTTCAATAAAAATTAAAAAAAATACTATTTATCAATAATGTGCAATATAATTAATAGACAATCTTGTTTCTTATTGTTGTGTATAAAAAATATTTATTAAAAAAAGTCAACCTTTTAAATAGATCTCAATACCTAAGAGTATTAGGCATTAATTTTTGACTAAGGGATAACTTGATTTATTAAAATAAAGAGTAAGAGTATTTAATCTACCTTGTGACATGGTAGATCGCAAATAAGTTTTTAGC